AGTTCTGGCACCATTTCCATTAGCAAGACCCGAGTCTGGTGGGCCTACTTGTCTGAAGTTCAACAAAGTCAAATGCAGGGTCCTGTACCCGTGGAAAAACAACCCCATGCACCAGCACAGGCTGAGGGCTGACCTGACACAAAACAGCTCTGTGGAGAAGGAGCTGGGTGTCCTGGTGGACAACAAGCTGTCCATGAGCCAGCAGTGTGCCCCTGTGGCCAAGAAGGTCAGTGGTATCCTGGGCTGCATTAGGAAGAGCACTGCCAGCAGGTCGAGAGAGGTGATCCTGCCCCTCTACCCAGCCCTGGTGAGGCCACATCTGGAGTGTTGTGTCCAGTTCCGAGCTCCTCAGTACAAGAGAGACATGGAGCTCCTGAAGTGGAGGAGCCCTCCAGCAAAGGGTTATGAAGATGAGCATCTCTACTCCTCTGCTGGAGCATCTCAACATCTCTCATGAAAAAGGCTGAGATAGTTGCCTGTTCACCCCAAGAAGAGACAACTGAGTGGGACCCTCATCAGCATTTCTAAGTATCTGAAGGCAGAGTGTCAAGAGGATGGAGCCAGGCTCTTTTTGGTGGTGCCAAGCAATAGACAAGAGGTATCAGGAAGAAACTGATGCACAGGAAGCTTCACCTGAATATGAGCAAGAACTTTATTGTGTGGATGACCGAGCACTGCAACAGATTGCCCAGAGAGGTTGTGGAGTCTCTGTCACTGGAGATATTCAAGAACCTTCTGGACACAATCTTGTGCAATGTGCTCTAGGATGACCGTGGTCCCTTTCAAACTTACCCATTCTGCGATTCTATGATTCTGAGCCCCAGTTGTACATCGGTGGCGCACAATTCATTGAGGGCACAGCTACCAGGGCTGGCAAGCAAAACCAGCCAGCCAGTCCCAAACTGGAAGCATTTCTGGGAGTGAGGGAAGTTAATGGTTAGGGGTGAAAGCAGCCAGCTGACCTGTCTGCTGTCTCACCAGAAAAAAGAAGTACACATTACTTATAGCTAGCCTTCAGGGAATGGACACTGTATATTACCTTTATTGGTTTTTCTCTATCCAGCAAAAATCTGGTTTAGTAGGCAGCTGTTTGCAAGTGGGGAAAATTACCTCACTGAGCACCAGAAAGTTTAGTTTGATTTTCTGAAATTTCTCCCTAGGAAGTCCAGCTGGTGTTTTATTAATGACCTCTTGACTTTTGAAACCAGCCCTTGCTTGCAATCAAGTCCTAGCTGTAGGGTTTACTTATAGGGAAAATGCACACAAAGTCCCATTTCTACGAAAACCACAGAAATGAATGACTTTATGGGTCACAAATGTCCAATCCTACAACTCTGTTCAGGAGGTTTCTGTTCAGGAACTGCTGCCTCTGCTGCCTTCAGGGGTTGTCATGCCCATCTCTGCATCCCTGAAGAAAGCATCAAGTGCCTGAAACCTCGGAAATCCATTTCTTGGCCTGTAGCTGTGGAGGTCCTTTCTTCCTCAGCCAGTACCCTTAGTCTGAGGCACCCTGGTTCTTGGTAATACATGGAAATGGAAATGTCACATGACATAGACCTGTGGAAAACTGTGTGGAAAGAAAAGATCTGATAAAAATGCCTCAAATCAGCATTGCTGCAAAAAGAGGTCTTGCTGTATTTAACCTTGCCTTGAATTGATTTTCCATTACTCCCTGGTGAGCTAGAGAGGGAACTGATGCAGCTGAAAGACATTCATCAGACAAATACCAGCCCTACGGAAACAGTGATGCAAGGGTGCGAATAAGGAGTGTCTGAGGGCAAGTTTCCTCCTATCACTGAGACTGACTTTTTGGTAAGTCTAAGGATTCAATAAGCAGTGTAAGATGAAGGCCGGAGGCGCAGTCCATATAACCTTGCTGCTGTGTGGCATAAACATGCTAATATTCTGCTCTACTATCCTCATCCCCTGTCACGTTCTTCAGGTTCTATCCCCTCTATGTCCTTCTGTAATATGGGTTTTGTGTTATAACGTGGTTGTTTTCCAGCCCAGAACTATTCTCCGTGACCCAGTCAGAAAAATCAGGGTCTCCTTCAAGGCTGAGGTGTCTCTGACCGAGTAGGTGATGGCAATGGAAATTCCCTTTCCTCTATAGATTGTCTCCCACATCTCAGCAGTTTCCCATCACTGCCTCTGCCATCCCTGGTCACAAGAGCCATTTGGCTATGTTTTGGGTGCTGCTCTGGCTTTGACTACACTTTCATTTTCAGGAGTTATTCAGACTCTTCTCCTCTGTGGCATTGCATGGCGGCACCTCCACCTCTCTTCAGACATCCCAGGGAAAGCATTCAAGGATGATGCCTGGGAGGGTGGGAGAGATCAAGAAACTGGTGAAAGGCAAAGCAGGGGGAGGTTGGAGGGAGCAGCAACTTGTTCTCCTTTCAAGTCCTGTCAGCACTCTTGCTGGAAGCATCACCTTTGTCACCATCTGGCAGGTCAATTCCTGCCAGAGTTAACAGAGATTTCAGTCTCTCAGGGTGGACGCAGGCTTTCTCTGCCAGACACTTACTGTCATAAAGCAAGGCAAGTGGCAGATGTAAAGTTTGCATAGACAGTCCCATAAAAGCATGACTTGGTGCTGGATAATATCACCACTTAAATCATGAAATTACGACCACTAATCTGGTCGTTATCATGCTGAGTTAGTATTAACATCATTAGCATCAATTTTTATTTGGGGGAAAAAAAGGCACTAGTATTTTTTGTGATGTTATGGTGCAGACCATTGATAATGTGTGCATTTTTACAAGAATTAAGCAACTTTTGCTTTTACCGCATAGATAAACAAGATTAGTTGGGCTGCATGGTCAGAAGGTACTGTTTGTAAATATATGTTTCAATTTTTGAAAGTCTTTTGAAATTCAGATACAAAATATTTTCAATTTATATGTATTTTTTCAGGAAAGACTTGCTTTATTTTTTCAGCACATAGTCATTTTGTTTGTTAACAACTTTATTATGATAGAAGGGTTATAATATATCATTACAAAGCTATGCAGTGCTTACAGAACACATGCAAGGCATTTTCTTTAACCAATCATGTTGCTATAGGAAGAAACAAAAATGTTGTGCCATGTTCCATCCTCTCCCGCCTCAAGGAGAAAAGGATGTGTTTGTGTAGCTTTAAAATATATCTAGATATGAGCAGTTTATTGCTTTCTTAATGACACACCATTAACTACTAGTGAACTACACATTGAACTTGTCTCCTTCCATGTTGTGAAAGTCCCTTGTAGTTCCCAGACTATCGTTGAATCTGGCTGGTAGTTGACTTCCTCTTTGCCATGATCCTTTGGGAGCAAATGCTGTCTCAGATAGATTTTTCCCAGATCCACACACACTGCAATTTCCTTCTTAGCAGATGTTGTGATCCAGGCTGTTTGCTGAGGGTGAGCCATGAGAGAAGCCCGACATCTCAGCTGTGGTATGAACTTCAGTGATTTCCAACTTTTGATGTTGTATAGCATGACTCATACTCTGATCTGAAAATACCTTTTTATGATCAAACATCCTGAGAGATATAAAGGAGAAGGAAGACAGGGAAGAAAGACTATAGAAGAGATGGGATACTATAAAGTAACCATCTTAGTGGGACCAAAACCAATGAGCATAACTGTGATATCACACGGGTACAGCAAGATCAACCAATTGTTGTTTGATCGCTGTCTCGTGTGCAAGAGATGTTGAAGGTGAAGCAGAAAGGAAAGGAAAAATTCACAAGTATGAAAAGGTGGACTTCAACAGCATCATAAGGAGAGACTGTCACTGGAAATTTATCAGCTGGTAACCTCTAATTCAACAAATGATTAAGTTAATATCCCACTGACTCTAGATGAAAAAATGTGGACTTATGCAGATGGCAAGAAAAAGAAAGATATATTAGCAATTGATGCCTTGGATTATACAAGTCAGAGATTTATATTCTTTTTTGGGGATAGGTGGAAAGCAGCTGAGCTATGAAAGCCTGAATGTCTTTCACAGAATTATTTTGCTGAATTTTTCGTCTTTTCTAGTAGAATTCAATTCTGTCTTCAGAGACAGCAGCTGACTATGCCTCACTGAGATATAATAAGCTTTTTAGCTATACTAGTTCTATTAGCTTTTTCCATTCCTCCAATCCAAGCAATAACATTTTCATTCCTTCTCCCAGTAGAGTACAAAATTTATAGAGTTGATTTCAAGCTAAAGATACTGTGAGTAATTAGTTATAAACTTCAGAATTGCACAAAATCAACATAAGATTTTTAAAAAAGCATTGTTACCTTGGATACCTAAAATATTTGACATTTTAAGACAAGACAACTGTGTCTGAATGATCTAAATAAAATGATCCTCACTGTAAAATATTTTTTAAAATTGAATAATTCTGTAAAGAAAAATACATAATAATAAGGCTTTTGTTTGAACTTGCACTGTTTGTTTCAGTAGCAATATGTAATTTTTGTTAGACAACAAAACTCTTTTCTGCTACAGAGATACCATCTCCAAAAGATGATTTTGAAAAAAGTATTTTAAGAAATAACTGTTTATTGCTGGTTTGGTTTTAAATAGTTTGTTTAATTGTTAATTCACTTAGAAAGTTCTGTTTGTCTTTACAGCGAAGGAACAGACCTGCTCAGGAGGAACTATAGTTTCCTGATATTTTATGAGAGCTTGTGGAGAATACATATGAGATGAGTGGTAAAATTTTATAGGTCTTTAAGTTTCAAAAATCTGTACATTAGTCTGTAAAAACCTGCTTTTCTAATTGTGTTTCTGCACTGCAAATTCTCAGATCTTCTCCTAGTGCCTTTGACTTCACAAACCTTAATGTAGAAATAAAAAAAAAAAGACAGAAGAGCTCAGGATCTTTCTTCACTCTTCTCCAGATCCATTCACAACTCACTGTGTAGCACCATGAGGAAATTCCTGAGGTCACCTTCCAGTGCCAGCTGAGACATCGGAGGCAGTTTGGCACATTACTTCAGGGAGCCGGTGTGCAGAGCCCTCTGTGAGTGTGTTGCACTGTTTCCAGGGCCCACTCTGACTTACTGTTTGTCATGCCTGTCCATCACCATCCTTTCCCAGGTCCAAGTCCACACATGCCGCAGGAGGCTGACACTAGCAGCAACGCAACCTGCTGCTGAGCATCCCTACCTTTTGCTTGAACAAGCGGCTTCCACTCAGCACAAATGACAGCAGGTCCAGACAGCTCAGGGCAGTCAGGCTCAAAAAAACCTCATTGTAGCTTTCTAACTGGCCAAAATCCCTAATATGTTGTACGTAGTAGGCCCTAAAGAGGTGATAGGGAAGGAAGCAAATTATGATGACCCAGATGAAAATCAAGTTTTTCACCTGGGCCCAGAACTCTTGGTGTGACCAGAAAGAGGTGGAAAGTTTTCTTGCCACTTTTACCAGGATAAAAATCTGCAGGCACAAGAGGACACAAGAAATGCAGGCAACAGCTACAATTAGGATGTAGTTTAGGGCTTTCACGCTCTCCCGTTGTAGTTCTTTGTGGAACTTGAAGCATGTTGTGTCATTGTATGAGCCTGAGTGTCCATACCGGAAGTGGAAAACAGGCACCACAAAGATGATGACAATGACCCACACGGCAGCACTTGCCGCAACTGCGTGCAGCTTCCTATAAAACTCTACTTTGTCCTTCCATTGAAAGAAGATCAGCCACCGGATCACCAGCGTGATCACATAAAATAAGAAGGTCAGGTACATGTGGATGTGCACCATTGCACTCACCATTTTGCAAAATGGCATCTTGAATACCCACTTCTTGTTGACATAATAGTGGATGCGGAAGGGCATCGTGAAGAGGAGGAGGCTATGCACAACAACCAGGTTAATGATGGCAGTAGTGGTCACAGACAGAGTGTTCATACTGAACAGCACAAATGACATTGTGATGGACCCGATTCCACCTCCAACAAAGGCAACTGAGTAGACAGTAATCAGTATGGTACTCATGGTGCTGGTGTGAATGAAGGCTGAGGAGGAGTCACTGCTGTTCCCAGTCTCTTCAGTCATGTTCCTGAAGTCTTCCTTGTACATATTCTAGAAATGAAAGAATACAGAAAGACTAAGATAAAGTAGGAATGAGAGGGCCTATCTAAAAAGCTAGTAGCACTTTCCACCTGGCTCTTGCCCAAGGAATAATCGTGAAATCTCACAGATGGCACCAGCACTGTAACAGTACAGTAGCTGTAACCAGTAGTTTTATCCAAACATCCTTCAACCTAGAGGAAAACGGAAGAGAAGGTTGGGCAGAGAAGCTGCTCAGTCCTCAAGACATTGCTAGCCATACCCTTAAAAACAACCATGAGTCAATAATATGCGGGAAGAAAAGATCCTTAGAGAAATTACATGATTGTGGTAGGTTAGTGCTGTTGTTAGTTCTCCTCTATTCTGAGCATCTGCATGGTTTTACAGTGAAGATCAGAGATCTTGTTTGAATTCTGCTACTCATTCATCACTTGTTTATTTGCAACACAAATCTGTCCTTCACAGAGCCAGCTAACAACCATATGTTGCTCAATCAAAGGTACAAATTTTGTTTGTTACCAAGAGCTAGGTTTTACACACACTCCTTCTTTCTGGACAGTTTATCTGAGCAAGGGATTAAACACCATGGATACCCAGACTCCATGAAGATCCTGCTCAGATCCTGCCAGACCAAGTAGCGTGGGCAGTGCTGTCCTGGTGCTCAGGGCCATTCCACATCTTACATGTAGTTACCTGGTGTAATGAAATGGGCTGCTGGAAAACATTGGGAAAGGACACCCCGGGTAAGTGTAAATCAGCCTGCCTGGCCTGAGCAGAAGCGAGATACAAGTTAATAGCAAATTTAATAAGTATGCTACATGTTTTTAATATATTACTCTTTCAAAGAGAGATTACATATCACTCTTATAATTCTAAATGCAGCTTCTCGTAGGATTTTTAAGTACTACAAGATCATATGGGGGGGTGAAAAGTTCAGGTAGGGTGTTATCCTGAAGCATATTTGCATGTATGTAGATGTCCAGAGGATGTCCACACTACAGTCACAGAAAAGAAGCAGGGAAAACTGAACAGTACTGGGCTCTGTACTATCCCAGTTATAGTGCTACTGATACCTGAACTATAATTTAAAACTGACTCTGGTATGTCATCCATTTCACCAGTGAATCCCACAACACAAGAAGGGTCTTCTCCCAACTGAGTTTTTGTGATATTTCATTTAATACTTCAATGTTTTAGCTTCAGAAAGTAATTCCTCAATCTCTTTGTAAGAATGATGTTTCAACTTACTTTTTTTTTTTTTAGGTAGCACATACTGCCAAATTTGGGAGAGGACAAAAGTTTTTAGCAGTCCTCTGTTTTTATGGAAAAGACAAGATGCCTATACAGTTTCATAAACTGGTTTTTCTCATAGTGGGGAATGAATATCTGTCATGCACCTCAGATTTTTTTGTTGTTTCTTGGCAATATTCCTAAACACTCACCTTTACAGTAATCAAGATCTGTTCAGACTTTGAAAAGTTGGTTATTCTCTAGCTATCCCAATGCATCTAAGACTCCAGATACTTTATTATAACCAATATAAATATAACAGCCATATCTCAAATTGATATGCTGCTTGTTGGCATTACTGACATTTTCTGTTTGATCCTGATTTCAGAGTTACATGGACAACTAATCCCAGTGCATTAGGAGAAGTATAATGGGTTGCAAGGAAAGAACTTTTTCTCAAAGTCAAGGTAGATTGGCACACTGCAGCTCTTGCATCAGAAATGGTGCAAGTTCCTTCCAGTTCTGTTCTCATTTCTGAGACATTGTGTTTCAGCCTCACAATCATGCAAGTCAGGAGGGATTAGCAATAGCTCTTAATCTGTTTCTCCAAGTTGTTAGGCTTTAATTTGAAAAGATGTCTCTAAAAAGTGACATTATCACAATGTTATGAGTTAAAATGCATATTTAAAGTTAACAAGTTTTAAAAGCGCCACAGCCCTAAAGGCAATATGCTGGAAATGTGGGTTAGTGTGAGCAGCCCCAGAAGCAGGCTGCACTTGGAGAGGGAGAACCCCTAATGGTCACTCTTCGGAGCCCGACGGTGAAACCTGAACTGAAGGCAGTAAGAACAGATAAGCAGAAGTCAGATAACTGATATCTTCATCAGATGTTCTGATTAAGGGAACAGCAAGAGACCTATTTCTCTCTGCAAATAAGAAACTGAAACACTGAAATGAAGGTTTCTGCAGAATTTTGTGGTCATCGTTAAATCTCCACACTGTAACATTGTGCAGGAAATGTAATTTTAATTAATCTTCAAAAAAAAAGACTACTGGCAGCTATGACAAAAGATTATCAGCTCCTCAAGACTGCAGGCATCCCACTGAAATATCACTGTGTGATGAATAGAGAGTATAGCATGTCACAGGGTATGTTTCACAGAGGAAATGCTGCTTTCTGGTGAAATGAGGTTTCCTATTGTAATGACATTCACAAAGCTATAACCTACTGACCTGAAATATAACTAACAAGTCCTTTTGCCAGAATTTAGCAAGAGGCACATGGAATGAGAATTAATGTGGGTCTTACAAGACTGATTGGTCATATGACATAAGGCTATATACTGAACCTCATTACAAACATGAGCTATAGAAGTCTCCAAAAGCTGCAAAATATGTCCAGCAGAGGAAGAACAACAGAAGAGACCAACGAGAGTGTCATCAAGTTAAGAACTGGTCTCTTCCCATGTTGCTTAACCCTTTGTCAGTGTCAGCTGGTGTAAGTTCTTGCTGGCTGTAACAGTACTTCAGTGCTTGCCTCAGTACTGAATCCAGCTTGCTTAAAACGACTTTTTAAAGTAATCTGATCTTTATCTTACATTTTATAGAGGGGTTGTACCCTGTTCAAAGAGTTACAGTTCATTCTTATTCCTTCTTGCCTTCTCCCCACACACCACTGCCCCAAACAATGTCTGAAGCACCAAGGAGCTCCTTCAGGAGGCTACTTTGCAGCTTTGTCTCAGCCAGGCTGATTCCCCTCATGCACGCTAATTTCAGCTATTGATATCCGTAAGAAGAGAAGGAGCATGGAAAGGGCTTGCACATCCAAAGGCAAAGAGTTTCTTCTCAAGGAGCTGTCCTTGTTTCTGTGCCTACCTACCCTCTCTAGCAACTGCCAGTTCAGTGATATCATTCAGGTCTTGGAGCAAGGTTTGGTTTTCCTCTGTGTTGAGTCTCATCACTTGGCTAAAATTCTGCTGGACTTGTGCCTTGAACAGCCATGTGGCAATGGTGGGCACCACTTCAATCTGAGTGCCATAGCAGTTGCTGGTGCTAAAGGCTTGAGGACAATTGCAAAAATATCTCTGTTTTAGTCTGACAAAGGAGGTAGGTTACCAAGAGGCCAGAGACTGGGTTCTTTCAAAAATATGGTCAGAATAAAGATTCTTGTGCATTCAAGATTTGACAGTTGTTGGTGCGGATAAGGTCACCACACTCATTTCTTGTAACTGTCTGTGCAGCACAGTCTGCAAGACTAACCTGGACTGCTTTCTTCAGGCCAGAAAAATTCATAATGCTCAATCCCTGGCAGTGTTCAAGGACAGGTTGCATGGGACTTTGAACAACCTGGTCGAGTGAAAGGTGTCCCTTCCCATAGCAGAACAGTTGGAACTAAATGATCTTTAAGGTCTCTTTCATCCCAAACCATTGTGTGACTCTATGATTTATGAAAACAATTTGATCTCTGTAAAATCTTCCAAGTAAAAAATATTCATTCCAACGTTCAGGAATTTGTTTCTCTTATCTTACTGTTATTTATACTACTATTTAAAAAAAAAAAAAGAAAGAAAGAAAGAGGAAAAAAAGATTAACCATCTTTCTGACAGAATTTGTACAACTTCAGCTTCCAGGCATTTTGTGTGCTTCTGATTCTCTCTTCAGATTTAAAAACCTTTTGTCAAATTTTTACTTCCTCTATAGATACCTGGAGATAAATAGAGATAAGGGACAGAAGATATTTATCATCTCTTGATTTCAGTCATACCTGTGGCTCATCACTGCACTGTCATTATGTTCTTATTTGGTTCTTAGATGAACGACTTTGCAATGGTAAAATGCATGTTGCTTGTTTGCATCTGACTTAGCAATCCAGATCACCCTGTCACTGGTTTGCTCCATTCATTGCACATCATTTTCCCAACCTGATCCATGAGTCACCATTACATTACATCAACACTATATCAACTTGCTGAAAAAAAACCCCCATTTGTCAGAAATGATGACACTTACAATCTCTGCCAAAGCTCTAATCTGTATAACAAGTGTTTGCAAAATTTATCCCCCCATACACGTCTGCTGAGAGACTGGCAGGCTTCACACAGATTTTCATGTGTTCTGACAATTGGGTTCTGCAGAAGAAGCATTTGAAGCCTGCATACACCCAACTGAGAAGTTTCATTTGAATTTGGAGGGGAAAAAAGTTCAATTCAAATGAAAGATTTCTATTTTTGACAGACTTAATAAATTTGAAACACGAATGTTTCTCAGAACTGACATTTCTGCACGGAACTAGACTAGCCTGAAGAAAGTGCAAAATACAAATATTTTTTAACTAAAGTCTGTTTAAAATCTGCATTTGTTTCACAGATATCCTCATTTAGTCCTCGTGCTTTCTGTTGAGGGCATTATAATTGCATTTCAATTTGCTCTAATTCCATACTGTGTTATGGTAATGCAGGCTATGCCACTAGAATAATTGCAGAATTCCTTTCATTTCAGAATAATGACACACACTTGAAGTTTGAAGTATTGAATCTGCTTAGTGGAGAACACTAAAAATACAAAAGATATGAAATATCAAGTGCATATTTACATTTAGACGTTGACTTTTTGCAAACAACTTCTAGTGATTCCTCTAACTCATTCTGTCCCTCATTGACTGATGTCTTGCAGGCTGTGTTAACATTATCCTGATACTTTGTAGTTTAAATTCAGTCTATTGAAGAGCAAAGGGGATGGAAAAACATGTTGGATTCGTAATCTTTCATTGGAGATTTTCACTATTTTTACATAAAAAAATAGAAACCATGAAATCTTCCTAAAAATCATCATTTACCTTCCTAGCTGTATCTTAACAGAGATGACAAACCCTTCTGGTCTTTACAGAGACTGGGTGATATCAAACACACACAAAAAGATGGGTGAAAACAAAATGCACTGCATGAAGAAAACAAAATTTTAGAAGGCATTGTAGAACTACAGGGTAGCAATATGAAAAAAAAATGAAGCAATGTTTTTCTGTACTAGGAAATTACAAAATACAAAGAGAAAACAGTTGTGCAGAAAAGCTTTAAAATGTGTTCAAAATAAAGCAAACAGACAATTGAATATTTTTTTCCCCTAAGTCGCAAACATTCTTTTAAAAGCTTTGCAAACCAAGGCTTTTGTTCACTCTGTGTATACTTACAGATTAGAGTTTCTCTCCACTCTTCAAGTGTTGTTTACTTAGATCTTCATTTTATGTAAGCTCTAAGAACAAAAAGCAAAAGAACTGATATTTGAAAGAGTCATTGCCTTACTTCCTTCTTTGAGCCTGTGACAAAACATTAACCTTGAGGCTCAACAATGTGAGGGCAGGGCTGCCCATGAGTACACAACCTTGAGAAGATTTTTAGTTGCATCACCAGACCCCTTAACCTGCAGCTACTTCTTAGCCATAAGAGGTCTTCAAAGCCTCCCATTTCTGAACAGTCACATTCTACTTCCAACTAAAATGATAAAGCATACACACAGATGTGAGCCCCACAAGTTCCAAAGATACTTGTTTGGAAAAACTATTCCCCAGAATCGAGGGGACGATTTGAAAGGTTGTTTTGAGAAAATAGGATAGGACAAGAGCAAAATATGATCTAGGTTGTAACTGACTAAGTGTGGGTTTGGATGTGGTTAGAGACACCAAAGTGTAAGGGACAAAATAAAGCTCATCCTGCAGCCCAGCACCATGTCTCAGTCCTGCTTTCTGCCAAGATTTTAGCTCAGTATCTGGATCTCGGTGCCTGGTGCCATCATTATACCTGCACAGTGCTAAGCAAAGTAAACTATCCACTTTACTAAAAAAAGATTAACCGCGCCAGTATCAAAGGCTCATCAGTGGTGATGGTTGTTGTGTGTGGTGTGTGTGGTAAAAGATGTCTTACTGCAAGACTGGGTCTCTGTGAGGAGTCTGTGCAGGGTGAGTTTTGCCCTCCTGAAGGCTTAATGCATTTCTGTCAGAACACACCACTATATCTGAGTATAATTGTTTTGAAAGCAATGGTGTTGACAGACAACCTTTACATATATTCTTACACAAGAACATTTTAACTGACTGCATCCTGTTGCTTCACATCTGGTTAAAAAAACACAAGGGAAGTACTGTTCCGTGGTACTTCACAACAGACTGGTGTGTGATGGAGGTTGTCTTTTTGCATTTTGCAATTTTAACAGTGGCTGACAGTTAAAAAACTGTTCAGATAATATTAAAAAGTGACCATAATAATAATGCTTAGCTCTTACCAAGTACCCATCTGCAGCTAATCTCAAAGTTCTGCTAAAAGGCATTACATAGTACTCTCCCTGTTCTAAAGCTAGAAAGCTGGAAACTCTGTGGCAAACACAGATCTATAGCTGAGATATCCTTAAATGAAGACCTATACCTTCTCAAGTTAGTCATGTTGTCTTGGCTTCTTCTAGATCTTGTTCTAGAATGAATACATCCCAACTATTAGTGGAAAGAAAGCTAACGTATCTTAAAGACCTTCAAGTAGTATCTGTATGTGGGTTTTTAAGTTATGGAATATTTTTGATACATATAAGAAGTTAATATATCAGTAAATATAAATTAAAACATAAATTAATATGTCTAATATTGATATTTATTGTTTATATAATAAAATATAATAATTACTTAACATACAAGTTATATAATTTTGTTGATAAATAACTATGTTGTTTTTTTCCAAGCAGTCATCATAAATGGAGTTTTCCAGATTGACTTCTTTCTATGTGTTTGCAACTGGCAAATCTTCAATCCTTTAATCCATGATTAAACCAGAGTATGGTCTGGGACAGGCACCCTCATTATTGTTGTTGATCTTTATTTTTGTAGTTAGTGTCAAGTTCTAGATAGGTTTAGAATGCTTAATATACATGATTGCAATTCATTTTCCCTGCTAAATTAACGGAATTTTGCAACTGCATGTATAATGGATTCCAGAGTGGTATATTTAGATTTTCAACAGCAATATTCTGAGCTGGTGGAAGAATGTGATCATTTTAGAGCATCACCAGTTGCATTTAAACACTGATGCTAGAAATGCATGTATTTTGTAAGTTTTGAGTCATTGCTGATGGTTTTAGCAATACCCTAAAAATCTAGAAGTGTGATAGTGTGTTTTCACAGTACCATTGTATCATCTGGATTAGACCATCACCGAGTTTGAGCTTGCATTATAGCAACAGTTTCATGGGTCAAGGTTGTTTAACCCAAGTCTGGGCCAGATTTCAAGGACTACTTGTCCTGAGATCTGATTATCATCGAGGTACCTTTACTCTGGATTATGTGAAAAGTCCTTGAGAAAAGAGAACTGTCTCCTTTATGCTCAGGCATAATACATGATGTTGTGATTTTTCAGCTATTCCAAACTTAGAGTTGTACACAGAATAACCATGGCAACACAGACGTTTTGGTTTTTTACATTTATTGTGCTAGGACTCAAGGATTTGGAGTGTTAATTCATAAGTGGACTGTACAGGGTGGTAGGATGTACACAGGTGTGGTGGTTGGCTCCCCTGTAAAACTACTCCTCTCCTTCACTTATGTAGGTGACAGACAGCAAAAAATAACATCCACCTGAATACCTTAAATTCACTGTGTGTAACCTGACTCTTAGTTAGCTGTGGATAAAGCTTGAGTGTTGGTCTTGAAAACACTGAACTGATGTGGAAAACTGAGAATCCAGGAGAGCATCTTCCACTATATTTTGTGCTCCTTACAAAAAGCCCAAATCTGTTCAGAAGCCCTCCTAGTACCAGCTATGGGCCTGGTCCTAGTATGTAAGAGTGGTTAATCAGTTATTAAGTTGCAATTGTGACAGGTTATTTGCAATTTATTATTAAGTAATATATCAGCTGATAATGTGAAGAACTGAAAGGCAGTCTGTAATTAGAGTAACTTTTAGCCGTTATCAACAAAATCATATTTTTTACTCATATTTCTAGCATACCTTACTATTTCAAGCACCTGAATAGAAATATATTAATTATCTACAAAAGGAAAAACATTCAGTGTCAATACCAACCAAAAACATTTTGCAGATAATAGGTTTTTTTTAATGTCTCTATCTGGGTTCTGAAGCAGTTGTGATTTGTGGTTGTCACCCAGGCAGTGCAAGGTGTCCTATGAATGAAAAATACTGCCTGTGACACATCTGAAAGGACATTTTGGAAAAGTACAGCAAGGAAAATGTGACTTGCAATTCCTTGTTTCACGCACCTTTGCACAGCAGAGTTATAAATTCACACTTCTCTGAAAAGTGAAAATACATCTAGTGACCTCCTCCTAGTTTCTTTTTCTAATTTAGGGGGGGAAATACTTACTTTGTAAGTTACTGTTCCTGGGCATTATTACTCAAAATAAATTTGCTTAAAAGTACCTGAGGTGAAATGTTGTGGAGAAAGTCTGTTTCCCCTTCAGTCTATTTCACTACCTTTTCCTCCTGCGGAAATGTCAGAATTGCACCTCATTCCATGTTGAAGTATAGCACATCAATAAAACCACCTCAAATTTCTATTAAGGTCCTACCAGAATCCAGGTCTTTCAACAGAAAAGTGCTGAAAACAACCCAAAACCTAAATCCACATCAAAATCCTATGTATTTCTTCTTTGGTCATGTGTGCGGGAGGGATCCCAGACCTTGAAAGCAACTGTTTTAACACTAATAGCGCTAGTAATTTGCCCAGTTGTCCCCATACCTCCTTTTTTTTTTCTATGGGATCTGCTTTAGCTTCAATGTTTGTCATTGTGGACAGGAGGAGGAATCAGAATTCAATATAAAAGGTGTCTGTTCAGACTAAATGGACCTTTTTAAGTAGCTGTCTTACTTATACTAACAACTGTACATTTCTAGCAGTATATCACCAACTCGAATGTTTCCTTGTTCTACAGGATTTTACTAGTTTATACCCGTTGCAAGCCAGTAGGTTTTTCAGGGGATATGCCTTTCATTAGGAATCCAGCACAGCAATTCACTCATTATGGAAGCTTTTTCTCACTAGGGTGAAAAAAAACGTAAGGGGAGCTGATTGACAAGGAGATGCATTAAGGATGCTGTAAAGATGACATTAGACTGCAGAGAATGAAACTATATATGTGGCACCATGCTGATTCTATATGCATATATGCCTTTCCAAAAAGAAAAAATCCTTTCCTTCACCTTGAAAAGACAGTGCTTATCCTAAAATTTGTTTGAACTCCATAGTAACCTCTCACTAATTGCCTGATGAGGTAGGCAGAGTGTTGTAAGAAAGAACGTATTTTATAAAAAGATTACAGCGCAAGTCTATTGCTATTCACTCTCAAAATATTTACTACAATTCCTAATAATGTTTTATTTTCAGATTGTTTATTTCATTTGCTTTCTGACAGAGGAGGTAATGCAAACTCTGTCATCAGATGCATGGAAAAAATCATTTTACTAATGATCATCTTCATGTTGAATATACTCATACAGATATTTATGAAATTTAGTATGCTAAACAGTGTTGTCTGTGTTAGCAGAGGAACAAACCTCCCTACATTAATCTAAGAGTGTCTGCCTCAGAGCAGCACAAAAAGGAAAGCTTGATGCCAGTACTGATCAATTGATAATGAAGATGTTTTCCTACCTTAGCATAAACACAATAAAAAATACATGACTTTGCTACTACAGGTGGGTTAGAGAGGAATTCAGGGTTCCTCCTGTCTCTATCAGAAATGAGTTTACTGAAAGGGAATTTTTCCACACTGCATTCATAAAGTACACTGGTTTGCAAGAGCCTTTCCTGATCACATGGCTAAAGACTGCATAATGGAGTGAGGTTCTGTGTGCGCACAACTACTCTGTTACATCAAATTGTTTGGGCTGAAATGGTTTGTTTTGCTATTACATCTGGAGGTTTCTATTCTGAGTAAAAGATAACCTTTTGTGTTAAAGTAAGGCCTTCAGTGCATTTGCCAAAGTGTGAAACCAATTGTGTTTGCAATAAGCTCATTACTAATGAATATTTTAAGACTTTTGCCTATATGAAGTTCAGCTGAAGTATTTAAGGATGCAGCTACACACTCCAGCCAGCAGCAATTGTAGAAACACCTATGGTAAATGCTATGTTCTGGGCTGTGGCAAGAATACCTACACCTACCCTTTGTTCCACCATCCTCCTAATATGTTTTCTCTTAGCTTCTCTCCCCATTTTTCGACACAGGAGTCCACAGAAAATCTTGGGATGTGCTGCTTGTGGACATAATGCTGTTTTTCCAGTCCAAATATGCTTATTTGGTTTTGGAGTGTCCTGTGCTGTGGTGTTGTACTGGGTCCCTGTTCTCGATTGGCTTTTTTATAGACCTCTCTATAAGAAATAGAACTGCAAACAATAAATTATCAAATATCATCCCTTTCTAACTTCCTTCTTCTCATTTCATCGAGGTTATTTGATGTTCTGTACATCTTCCTTATCGCTTGAAAGCATAAGTGCCCAATATTTTGCATAATTATTCACTATAGCTCTTATGAGCTCTTACAGCTGAAGACAAACTGACGAGACATTCCTGTATGATATTATGAGCCCTGCATGATAGATACACAGGTAAAAAAAAAAAAAGAAAAAAAGTAAAATCCACATGGAGCCAGTGAAGCATGGTGAAGACCCAAAAAGCACAAATGCAAGTTGGTACAACAGTGAATAGAGTAGGAAATACCCCGAGCAGACATGAGCCCTGGTGCCAAAGCAAAATAGTGGCATGATCTTTAGCTTCTTAGCAGGATTTGTTAGATGGGTTGCAGTAACATGCCTCTTTAGCACCATTGTTTCTGGTTCCCAAGTTAGCACATTAAGCACTAATTTGAATACATCTTCACAGAAAAGATAACCCCAAAATAGCTTTTCTCTTGATAGCAGTGATGCTAAGAATTTTGAGAGAATGCAGTTAATGTGTTTAATTGTGCCACTGAAATGGAAATGAGAAGGATCAACTCACTGAGGAGAGATTTCCATTGTTACCTTTCTTTTCTCTCCGCACCATCAAGTCAGGATCATCACTGAAAGTGATTGAATGATTTCTACAGCCCTTATGGTGATAGGTATCACCATTTACTGTTAAGTATCTTTAACACAATCTAAAGTGCAGATAAAGTAATGCCTATATTGTATCCAGTCCAGATTTTCCTTATGTCTCTTACTTTGGCTAAAACTCTTTTCCCCTTAATTTCACTTAAGAAGAAAGATTTCACTCTGTTCAGTGAGCTGACAATAAAATAATGAATTCTGTATCAAAAGCTATCTCCACTTAATTTTCAGATTCATTTACCCCTATCAAATTAGTGGGCATCTGAGCTCTTTCCATTCCCACAGATAAGATTATCCTCACATGAACTTAATTTCAGCTGTTTAACAGAGATCTCTTCTAGGTTAGGAAGAAGTTCATTAGACCGGTGAGAAGTTCCAGCATCATATTTGCTATGTTTTTTTCTGAGGTATTTTTTCCCTGGACTTTTTTGTTTCAGATTCAGAAGCAGCCTGCACAGGTTTTTTTAGGGGTAAAATGGTAGAAGTCATGCAGTCTTTCTGTATGGCACTGGCATTGTGAGCTTGACGTATGTGTGCAATTCAGAAAGCAATGCTCTGTAGAAATATCTAAACTGGCTTTAAATAGGTAGTTAGTGACAAATCTATGCTAGTGTGCCACTCCCTCTAGTCAAATTTATTCCAGTTTTCCAGGCTTAGAGGTTTCATCATTTCAATTAGCTCCTCCAGAGCTAGTTTTCATACCTCTGCACGATACTGCTGAAAGTCATGTGCACATCCCAGTCTGTGTTGAATCTTAAAAACATTCAGGTTGGCAGGGACCTCTGAAGATTTTACAGTCAAACCTCCTGTTGAAAGCAGGAATATAGTCTGAGTTATCCAGGGTTGCATCAAGCTGATTCTTTAATATTTCCAGCAGCGGGGATTCTGCCACTCTGAATTTTTCAGTCAGTGTCTGTCTTGGACAAGGAAGACAGAACCTGAATGTGACGTCCCAGGTGTGGCCAAACAGGTGGTAAGTGGAGTGGAATAATCACATCCTTGACCTGCTGGCTGTGGTCCTTGACCTGCTGACTTGGCTCTTGCTGATGCAGCCTGTGACAAGGTTTCATTTAACTGCTGGTCTGTGTGAGTGTCTGAGAGCCTCAAGGATGGTGTCTAAAAGCACCAAAATAAAGTCAGACCTGGCAACACTCTGTGAGGGGGGCTTGTGGTGCTCAGCATCTGAGCTGATTCTGAAAAATTTACTCATCGTGAAAGAGTATTAAAGCCTATGATAAAGCCAGTAGAAGCACAATGGAAAATTCCTTCTTATTTTTGTTTAAAGATTGGTTGTCAAAACCAATAACACTTGTCTTTCTAATTTATATTCTCTTTTAATAAATTAAATTTCAGAAAGAATTAGGAAAATGTGGATGCTCTTGTAAAAGGAGCGCAGGGCCCCTTTCTGCAATGCTGAATCCCAAAATACACTTTTAACTACCTTCTGCTTTTCTTCTATTGATTTCACAAAATCTGACATTCACAACTGCTGCAGTGGCCTAAAAACCCTTAACACTCTTGAATTTCATCCTGTCATATTTCCTCCCAGCTTTGCTTTAAGCTTACCTCTCACCAGGAACTGTTAAGCTTCATTCAGATCTGCAGCCTTCTCACTTGAGTTTAATAATATTTCCCTTCTCCTCCCAAAGGTGAGGGGTAGAATATTCCTTTCTGCATGTGAGTCTCCAGTAATTCTGCTGCATACCTTTGCAGCGCTTACCTAACTGCTCTCCAGCGGCATAAGAGGAGACTTGCCTCGCTCTGTAAAACTCCTGGACTTTGCAGAGTAGTGCTGCTGAGGAACTGCAACTGCAGCACAGCTCTGTCTGCTTCCTGAAGTGTCACCCATTGTTCGTAAACCACAAACAGCTGACAAACGCGATTGGACCAATTGTTATCATGTCACTTATAAAGTTTATTGATGCGGATGTGTTTGGGGGTGTTATTTATTCTTGTTCTGTTCAATACATGCTAAGTATTTCTAGTTATTGCAAAACGTATCTGCCTACAGGTGGTTATATGTGCAAACAAGAGGACTAAACAGACTGAAAGTGAATATCACATGTGGGAGTACGTGTTTGTAGTCATGTCTGTGGAGGTATAGTTATGGATGTTTCACTACCGTGGTGCGAAGGCCACTCAGCCTCTCAGCAGCATTTGCACAGTTGCTTAGATAACACCTGAGAAGTGAATATATTGATCTGATGGCCCTCTCAGGACCTTTCCTCATGATACAATGGTAAAATATACAGTGGTAGCAACCCTGAGGCTGGGCAGCCTGCAAGGCTGAAAGCTTTCTGGTACTCCTGAAATGCTTCTGTCTTGTTATCAAACAGTAGTCTTCCAGAGAGATGTGAGTATCCACTCTGCATGTGCTTTTGTATACTGCAGTCTTTTTAAAAATGAAAAGTATTGCCTCAAACTTTTTACAAACGAAGAGGATAAGGCACATGGAAAGAAGAAAGTTGTGGCAGGGATTTGGTATGAGATATTACCATCCTCTTTGTAATGCACTGTTGGCTCTATTCTTAATTGTATCCAATTTGTATGTCTGCTACCTGAAATCTGTCAGAGCAACACAGGTACATGCAAAGGTGCTACTATTCCTTCACTCCATTTAATTTCAAAATGTAGTTCTCTATCAGTGGAACAACGGAATAGCTGCTAAACTTGGTCATGCAACAGGTAGCAGAGTAGGACAAACTTATATTTGATTTCAAAATCTTGAAGTTACATTCCCAGGAGCTCCAGCATGAATAATAAGTGTTCAGAATAAGAATGTTCTCTTTCTTTTAAATTAAGGGCATATGCTTGGGGACTTCTAAATCTAAAAGCTCATTAAATGTTCTGTCCGATTCCTATGTTAAGATTCTACAAGATAAAAAGCAATAGTTATAGAAAATACAATACTTTTCCTAGCAACGTCTAATTGCTTTTTTCAGGGTTTACTAAGGAAATTGTTGCTCCAACAACTGGCTGAACTTAGAAAATATTCTTGTAAGATTTTAGTGATCTGCAGTAGACATAGTACTACCTTTCATCAAATAAAAATACAGCAATATTTTCCACTATGCCGAAAAGCAAAAATTAAAAACAGTGCTGAATTTGACTCAACTGTGTAATAGCCTACTAGTCCTATATTATATGCTATGAAGGTAGAGCATAAAAGACTTCAGACAATTTCTTCAAAGTTACTTAGCAAGTCTGCTACTGAATCAGAATTAGACTACTTTTCACCTAATGTTGTGTCTCATGCTTTAACATATAGGCTGTATTTTGCCTTTCAGTAACAATAAGGAAGGCTTCCAGAACAAAATTTCTGACATTGACCTGTGAAATCCGGTAACCTCACTGTTGACTCAAGCAAAAAGTGGCTGTAAGTTTTTAAGAAGCTTCTCATCCTCAGCACTTGTATGAGACTAACTCTTAGAGAAGTAAAGTTGCACTTTCCCTTGGAACGTAGGTCTATCCATTTTTTTCAAGACTGATCTATTTGCAGAGTCCTAGGATATAGGATACAGACTTCTGGAGATCATCTGCTCTAATCCATCACTCAAAGCAGGGCCAGCTTATGTCACGTTGCTCAGTGCCTGGTCCAGTAGAGTTTGACTATCTAAAAAAATGGAGGTCACATCATGTACAGGCCCTAGTTCCAATGTCTGACCACACTCATATTGTGAATGTTTTTTTCATAACATATAACTGGAATTTCCCATGCTGCACCTTAAATCTTGTTCCATAGCTATTGACCTCTGAGAACCGTGCATGTCCGTATTTTTCTACTACCTCTCATGAGGTAATTGCAGAGAGTGATAAGATCTGCCTGTGAATTTGGTAATGCAGCCCAGGATGTGGTTGGCCTTCTTTTTTTTTTTTTTTTTTATTCTCATTAATGACATAGACAAAGGGACCCTCAGCAAATTTGCAGATGACACCAAGCTGTGTGGTGCGGTTAACACACCTGAAGGATGGTATGCAATCCAGGGGGACCTGGACAAGCTCTAGAAGTGGGCCCACGAGAATCTCTTGAGGATTAAAAAGACCAAGTGCAAGATGCTGCACCTGGGTCTGGGCAACCCCCGGTATCAATTCAGGATGGAGGATGAGCAGATTTAGAGCAGCCCTGCTGAGAAGAACTTGGGGGTGCTGGTGGATGAGAGGCTGGACATGACCTGGCAGTGTGTGCTCACAGCCCAGAAAGCCAGTTGTGTCCTGGGCTGCATCCAAAGCAGTGTGGTCAGCAGGTCAAGGGAGGTGATCCTGCCCCTCTGCTCTGCTCTGGTGAGACCCTGCCTGGAATGCTGCACCCAGCTCTGGGGTTCCCAGCACAGGAAAGACACAGAGCTGTTAGAGCAAGTCCAAAGGGATGTAGCACCTCTCCTGTGAGGAGAGGTTGAGAGAATTTGTTTTGTTCAGCCTGGAAAAGAGAAGGCTTCAGGCTAATCTAGCTGCAGCCTTCCAGTACTTGAAGGGAGCCTACAAGAAAGCTGGAGAGGAACTTTTTACAAGAGCATATAGTGACAGGACAAAGCGGAATGGGTTTAAATTGAAAGAGGGTAGATTTAGATTAGATATTAGGAAGAAACTGGTTACTGAGAGAATGGAACAGGTTGCCTGGGGAAGTTGTGGATGCCCCATCCCTAGAAGTGTTTAAGTCCAGGTTGGATGGAGCGCTGAGAAACTTGGTCTAGTGAAGAGTGTCCCTGCCCATGGGCAGAACAGTTGGAAACAGATGATCCTTAAGGTCCCTTCCATCCCAGGCTATTCTGTGATGCTATGACTATGGTTCCATGATTCTTGGCTTCCAGGCCTCATGTTCAACTTCTCTACCAAGTGCCCACTGGTTCTTTTCTGCAAACCTGTTTTCTATACAGGCACTGCCCAGCCCCTACTGTTTCAAGGGCTTATTCCCTCCCAGCTACAGGGCTTTGCATTTGCTTTTGCCAGCTCTCAAGGTTCCCATGAGCTATTTTTCCAGCTTCTCCAGGTACTCCTCAATGTCCTTTATCCCATCATCCTCCAACTGACTGAGAGTGTAGTCCATCCCATCAGCCAGGTCATTAATACATCTTAAGTATTTTTGAATTCAATATCAGATGAGAAATGTTGCTAGCAACTGGCTGTCAGTTGAATTTCATATCATATATCCAAACCTCTTGAACCTAGTCAGCCAGCCAATGTTCTACCCAACTTACTGTCATCCACCTAAGCCATATCTCACCCATTCAGCTATAAAAATATCACAGAAATAGTATGGACTATACAATAGGTATACAATAGTATGGCTACTACACAGTCAAAGGTGTTGCTAAAGTCAAAGTATACAACATCTACTGCTTCCACCTCATCCACAGAGACTGATAGAACATCACAGAAGGCAATCAGGCTGGTCAGGAAGGATTTACCCTCAGTCAGTCCTTTCTGACTGTTTCAAATTCCCTCATCTTTTACGGCATGTGGGATTGGGCCCCGTGGGATGTGGGCTGTAAGCAGTAAATGGTGTTGGTGAGCACTGGTGAATGTGTAGAGAATGCTGTCCTCAGGCATGGAACCTTACCACCATGTCCACTGTTTGCATCACAAAGACTGCTGAACCATGTCCCAAGACTGGATCCCTACAGGCACAGTCATGTCCATGCTTCTTCCAGAGTAAAACATTCCCTCAGGTAGGCAGTAAAATTTATAGCAGTTAAGCCAACAGCTGTTGCTTATCTATTTGATTTTGGAAGTAATTTTTTTACCATGGCATGATCACATGCCAGTAAATCACACCAGAAACTAGCCTTCAACTGCCTCCTTAATCTTTAAAGGAAAATTGTCTAATTCATACTATCACTTCTAGAGAAAAGCAACAGGACTGTACAAAGTTTCCCGCTAGGTACAGGCCCATGAAGAGAGAGAAAAAAGTTTTAGCAAATATGTAGCCACTACAGCATTTAACTTTTGTGGTATTTTTATTTGGTGTCCAGTTATTTTATCTTCCATGTCAATAGAGTATTACAATGTAGTAGAGTGAGGATTAAGGATAAAGGATAGCAATGGAGCCAAACGGGACAGAGAAAGGGTATGGGGTCAAGTGTGAAGACAACATCACTATCACCAGAAGAACAGACCTGCACCTCCTGACCATCTGTCTGTCTTTCATTCTCTTTTCCTCTCCCTCCCAATCTTATTCTTTCAGATGAGAAATACTTTACTCTTTTTCAGCTCAACAGCAAGCAGCAACATTTGAAGGTCAAAAACACATAAACATGATAAGACATCCTACTAACTCCTAGGTGGCTGTAGGAAGTTGTTGTAATCAGAACATCATGAGAGCTGGGAAGTTGCCACGAGTTATTATGACCTTTCTCTAGCATCCAGAAACTACACATTAATGGACCAGCCCAATACCTGTTCAATGTGCTATGCCACACAACAGGCTGCAAACCCCTTTCAATCTCCTATAATTAATGTCTGTGAAGAAAATGCTAGCAGCACCAAAGTGCTGCTGGACTCAAATGGCCTAAGTCAGTGAGTCTTCGGCCAAATGTTGGTTCCTGCTCTGTGCAGTACAACTCCTCTGTGGGGACTACACCTTCCTCTGGTGAAAATGGGAGTTGTAAACATATGTCCTTGGCGTGTTGTTGAGAGCAG